GTCCTGGATCAAAAACTTGTTCTGTCACAGGCATGATTTTTCTCTATGTGAAAGAGAACTCACAAAATCTGAAAGCATATTCATACCTGTGCTGAGCTGTATATGTGCAATAGTTCATCTATGAAGATGGGACCTTACATAGTAAATAATAGGAGCTGGGGATTCTAGAGATACGTTTTTTGCCTGATCCTATTTTACAGGACTTCTGCCTATAAATCAGAGTCTGGGAACATTTTAATTGACCTGAACAATTGTTAATTAGATATTATAAGCATCTGCTACTTTACAGGAAGATCAATAGGAAAGTGTTTTTCCATGCTTTTTGGGGATATTTGTATGCGTCACATATACTGTTTCTTTAAAGCAGCATGACCTTATGGGATATCTAATTCTGTTTTTAAAAACCTGCTCCAGGATTTTGCATTCCCTCTTTTAAAGCTGCACTCCCAGAAGTATCTTTAGACTGTGGCGGTGGAACATCAAGGTTAAGTGCAACTTTTTTCACTTTCTGCATGTGAAAGTGTTCTTCGTTTTGACAAGGAATAAAATGAATAGGGGGTCTCTAGCTTATTTTGGTAATTCTCTATTTTGTTTTAAATAAGTCACCTGTACCCATTCACTGGCAATCATCTTATTGTTTTAATGGAATTATTCTAGTTGTTGCTGTATCTATTATGTTATTCTCTTTCTTCTTTTTGCTCCACTTCCAAAATAAAAGGCAATTGAGCAAAAATATATCCAGTATGGTGGCACTGGCTGATAAACATATAAGAGAACATAATTCAAAATGCTTTATTCATTTTTCTAATGGTATCTTGTAAGCCAGGGTAGGCAACGTTTTTTTGGCTGCAGTGCCTAAAAAACCACAATGTTTACCTTGGAAGGTCCCAGAGTGCCAACATGTCAGAGCCTGGAGCAGCTGTTTGCAGCCTCCTGGCTGCAGCCAGCCCATGAAGCCCGGTCTGCTTGCAGCAGGGCTTGCAGCCTCCCAGTTGCCTGCTGGGAGCAGCCTGGGCTCCGTGGCTGGCAACAGCTGCTTAGAACCCGGGCTGTCAGTGGTGTGCCAAGCAAAATGGCCTTGCGTGCCATGCTTGACACGTGTGCCGGGGGTTGCTGACCCCTGTTGTAAGCTTTTCTATTTAAAGTATAGTCTCTTAAAATCAGAAAGTTTAATATGAACTTCAAGGTGTTAAAATGGTTTTAAATATTGGTAGGTATACTGTTACCCGTACAAATTTATGTGTTGGCAAATAGATTTTTTCCTTATTTCCTGAATAGCAAAACTTGTATAATGAAGGCATTATTCCCTCTTTTCACTCTTCTCTTCTACCTTGCCAAGTCTCTCTTTTCTCTTCCTCTTCCTTTACCACTGTCCCATTATTTCATTTGGGCAGATGCTGTTGTGTAGCTGTCAAAATTACCAAAAGAAAAATAGCTTGACACCTCTCTGATTCTGAGCTGTTCCTGCTTTGTGATGTTAGGTTATATACTGTTACCTGTACAAATTTATGTGTTGGCAAATAGATTTTTTCCTTATTTCCTGAATAGCAAAACTTGTATAATGAAGGCATTATTCCCTCTTTTCACTCTTCTCTTCTACCTTGCCAAGTCTCTCTTTTCTCTTCCTCTTCCTTTACCACTGTCCCATTATTTCATTTGGGCAGATGCTGTTGTGTAGCTGTCAAAATTACCAAAAGAAAAATAGCTCGACACCTCTCTGATTCTGAGCTGTTCCTGCTTTGTGATGTTAGGTTAGGCCCCCCCGGGACATTCAGCAGTAGCAGCCTTGTCAAGTTAATGTCTGGAGTCAGCATTAGAGAGACAGAACATTTCAGGATCTAGCTGTTTTTCCTTCCCAATCTGGACACTCCCATGTGAGTAACTACAGGAGTGTAGTGTAATGCTGCTTGCCTGACAGCTCTATTCCTCTTCCAGACTTGGAGAAACTAAGGGAAGCAAGCAAGCCAGAATAAGAACAGGCTTCCTACTGGTAAGATCTAAGAAACTGTGGAAGTGCTATTGCTTTAGTCACAGGACATGGCTAGATCAAGAAAATAAACAGTTTTAAAGGATATTAGACAACAAATGTTAATTCACACTTAATGTTCCAATCCAACCAATTCCACAGGTGATGTTTCAGCAATATTATTATTTGATAATGTTATAATGCTGAGTTCATGATCAGAACAAAAATGGAGAAGAGTCATGACCAGTTCTAGTCTTCTTTTTTGTGAGGAAAGGAGCTGGACTAGACCTTAATTTCTGTGGTATCCAGCAATATTAGCCAGGCATGTTAGCCTGATGGTTTTTGTGAAATTGTGTACATGAGTAGGCATGTCTACATGAGATGCTACATGGACATAGCAACAAGCTATGGCAACAGAGCTCATAGATTCATAGATTCATAGAATAAGGGTCGGAAGGGACCTAGTAGATCTTCTAGCCCGACCCCCCGCCAGGGCGGGAGAACAACAAAAACCCCAAAAACCCCAAAAACAGTACCTGCAAATGCTATGGTGACGTAGCATTTGCAGGTACTAACTGTGATACTGTCACTACTGTGCAGTAGCAACGAACTACTGTGCAGTAGGGTTGAAAACAACCCACAGCACTGGTGGGTACTTTGCAGTCATATAGGACATGTAGGGGTGCCCTGTGACACACAGTGAAGTGACACTTAGCTCTTAAACCTAATTATGATTGTTCATAACATCCCTTTTAGAACAACTAATGCCTCTGTTAGGACTGTTGTTTCCGATCATTTTATCTCAGGAAGGCAGTTTTTTATTTTGGAAGATGACCCAGCTCTCTACTTACGCTCATCAGGCTAATTGCCCAATCAAGAGATCTTGCAGTTAAGAGACACTTCAGTAATTTTCTCCCAGCAGAAAAAGTCCAGACCCCAATCCAGGAAGTGTGTGACTGGGTAGGAGGGAATCATTAAAGAGACCTCATAGAAGTTAGGGTGGGTGGTTCTCCTGACCTGAATGCCTTCTTCACATTAGTTCTCTGTGACATCATATGACATCCCAGTGTGAAACCTTTCCCTTGACACCTATGGGAGGGCTTCCCTTGAAATTTATACCAAATATTCCTCTTGTTTCTACCCCCAAGTTCTCTCTGGACTTCACTATCATGTACTGCTTGTTTTGTCTCAGAGTAGTGGGGCAAGTGTATGTGGAAGATCTGCAGAGGGATACAGATGGCATCCTAAGTCTCTGTAACCATTTCACTGTGCTTAGTGGAGTAACTGAAAAATTCAAACAGTTCAGAGACCTGGCATTCTCTGGAGCAGAAGCAAAGTAATCTAAATATCTTGATCTTTACAGAGAACCTAGTAGAAATTACTATGTAGAAGTAAAACAAAGGAAGCCCTGGCATTTAAGATCAGTACCAAATCACAATTAGCAGCCTGAATTTCAGAATCATTAATCATTCTCAACTCTACTTGAAACAGTACCCCTGAAAACTAATCTTCAGGTTCATGGCACACAAGTACAGGCCTTGCAAAGAACATTTTTTCCAACTATTTAGTTGGCCTAATAAAAGATATCACATTTACCCAAATAACCTTGCCTGCCTATGTCCTTAGACCAACACAGCTACAACCAAAAACCCTGGTCTTCACTGAAAAATTTCTGACTAGATCTGAGGACATGTAATGTAGAAGGGAAGTGACTGACTTGACATGCACACTCTCCTGCCATTCTAAAAGAAAGCTGATTGTTTTTGCTTTAAAAAGACTGAATGTTGGTACTGGAAAGTCTGAAAGCAGTAGGAATTAACCCATTTAGGATGCAGGTTTAGGGAAGGGAAAGAGAAGAGGCCTTATGGGTAGAATGACCCTTAGAATCCAAGGTAATAGGAAATGGGATAGTGTAAGAAGACCAGTGTCAAGGAAGAATTGTCCAGCGTATTGACCAGTGTGTAGAAAGGAAGAATTGTTATCTGGCACCACAAGATCCATGCTACTTTGCCCAGTGTATGGCAGAGGTAAATCTACCTGATCCATAGTATGAGTCTACCTGATCCATGCTGAGCCTGAGACAGGATGCAGATCAGACAACCTAGCTTTCACCCAGTTTAATTTAAAATGTATTAAAGTCAATGGAATAATTAACATTATCTTAAATAGAAGTGGATCAGAATTCAGTCAGAATGAGAAGTATTCAAAGAGCATACATGGACATGTGGGAAGTAGTAAGTATGACTTTTATCTACCCTCTGCCCCAGTTCATGCGCCTCTTTTGGCAAAGGGAGAGAGGGGAGGGTAACAGTTATTGCAGGAAAACTATGATAATCTTGGTAATGTTGTAACCCCGATGGTCCAGGAATTATATGGGAGACAAGGATTTTTGGGGGTTCATATATTTTATTGGACAAGTGTTTCATAGTTTCATAGTTGGTAGGGTCGGAAGGGACCTGAGCAGATCAAGTCCAACCCCCTGCCATGGCAGGAAAGAATGCTGGGGTCAGACGACCCCCAGGGTAGGAGCGAGCACGACTTCCCTTGGAAGCTGGTTCCAGATCCTAGCCGCCCTGACTGTGAAGTAGTGCTTCCTAATGTCTAGTATGAACCTACTCTTAATCAACTTGTGGCCATTATTCCTAGTTACTCCTGGTAGTAATGGCATAGTTTGAATAAAGTTAGACAACCTTTGCATTGGAAAGCTTGTCTAAACTTTGGCCCAGTGATGCAGTTGAAACAATTAAGCATGGGAAAAACAGAAAGACACTTGATTCTGTCTTGAAAGATGCAGTTCCCTTTAGGAAGTGATACTGTCAGGAAAGAGAACTAAAGTAACTTTAAAAACAAGACTACAGACTAACTAGGGGGAACAGACATGTTGTGATCTGATGAATGAATAAACACAAAAAGGACACAGTGCATTTTATTTCTACTATTTATAGAAAGTTTAGCACCTTCTAAATTAAATACAGAAAACTGTTTTATGCCTTGAGACAGAAGAATGTATGACTTCTGAGAGAAGGTTTGAATTCAGAGGAATCCAATTATTAACTTTTTATTGCTAGGGTTTTTTTTTACAGCTGTTGCTGCTATGTAAGCAGTTACCTCACATATTAAGGATGACACCATTTGCACTAAGCTTTCTATTTTCAGAGGTTTGTATTCTTCTGTTGACTTGAGGATGGAGAAAACTTTTCTACATGGCCTGTCAGAAAGTTATGCTGAAATCCTGAGCAGAAAATCCCTTCAGCCACCTGAGTTAAAAAGGGGGAGAAGAATGGGAAACAATTAATCAAATAACTTTTTCTTGTTAAAGCAGATCTATAGTAAAACTAGAAAACTAGCTAAACTTCTGACGCAAATAGGATTCCGGGAGCGCACCTACATGTGCCACTATGGTGCCATTGTTACTGCGCAATCATTTAGTACTTCCTTTTGGAAGTACTAAATGATGGTTCAGTTACAGCCCGTACCACGCATGCCATGCAGTTATTTTTAGGCACAATATGTCACCATAGTGATGCGCTATAATGGGGGAGCACATCAATACAGCGACATAGCTGCATCACGGTTTTTGCCCGTGGACCTACATCACTATAGTGAATTGCTATGGCGATGTAGCATCATGCGTAGACATGCCTAGTGAGGACACATCAGTTCAGGGGAAAAGTTCTTGCTTTGACAGTGGTGACCATATGACAATTGTGCACAACAGAAAAAATTAGTAAGATTGCCCTTTTTTAATGAGGGTGGGACAAAAGAATAGTCCAATGTCACTAAATCATCTTGCACTTGAAATTAACAAGGACTCTCACCTCTTCAACCACAACTGTTGGTGATAAGGATTTTGTAGGTCAAAACCTGCCCTCTGATATCCCTGTTTAAAATTTACTGAATGTTGTTCTGCTTCTATTAACTGGACCTGAATTTATTACTGTGATCTCAACTTGAGCTAAATTTCCCATTAACACCTGTAGCTACCCTCTTTCTTCCCTCTCAGCATCGATTATCCTTCATAAAATTATACTGTTTCTACTTGGATGCCTATTGCTATAGTTAGGATTCTTAGTTTAGACACTCGGGTTTGAATGTCTTGAGGTAAGTAAACAATCTCTTTATGTGTATGAAAGCTTCTAGCTGTTTTCATTCTCCATGGCAACAGGAGTATAAAGTGATAAGAACTTGTTACTAAAGTCGACTGCATATATACAGGGAGCAGATGTCATGAGAGAGAAAAATGCATTTTTAGTTTTTCAGAGTAGGACTGCGCTCTAAGTCTTCATTGGTGTACATTTTAAAGATAGAGATATATATATGCAGATAGGTGCATAAGGCAGGAGCTATGAATCCATAACCTGGGCTAGTGAGGATCTATAAAGTTTTGAACTTTGAACTTGAATAAGGGCCTTCAAGATCACTGCAACCTAGGGAAATAAAGTACTGATGAGAGCTGTGATCTGCATGTTTTCTACAAGAGGTGAGGACTGAGCCAAGCACTTGTGCTGCAACCAGATTCCCGCTCTTGAAGACAGGTGATATTTGAACTTAAGGCTTTAATGTTTAAATGTTTAAGCCTCGTAGTTGCAAAACAATTAAAAATGGTGTGTGTGGACTAAAGTAGTACTGGCTGTAAACTTTAGGAAAGCACCTTGAAATAATTATTCTATTAAGATTTGAAGCGCCTTTCCATGTTCTCTGACTCCCTCACCTTGCTCGGAGCAATGGTATCATCACCTCAGCAAAATATTCTGGGTTTATCTACACCAACAAAAAGGGATATTAGATAACTTGTGTTAGCTAATTGAATAAACAACTCAAACTTCTCTTGTGTACATGCAGATTAAGACCTTTATACCGCTATTGAAATGGTACATTAGGCTCACCTCTTGGGCAAGCTGAGATCTCCTACCCTGCAGTAAAAAGGTATTGAGCTGCATCTGCCCTAAGGAAAAGACTGTAGTAACCCTGTCTTATTCTAGTCCATATATACCCTGTGTGCAGGGAACTCCAGCTGCTACCATCCCATGATGCAGTGATGCTGGGGACCTTCATAGAGAGGCCTCTGGGTGACCAAGTATGGAACTGCTGCTCACTAAGGTGGCCTCAGCTTCTCTGACAGACTGAGCAGCAGTCAGGGGCTTTACAGTACATAACCAGAATAACTATCCTATATATTTAAAATGGTACACCCCCGAAATATAATTGCAGTTAAATTGTTTGTCACTATTAATATATCCTGCTTTGGGAAGCAAGTGAGTTATAGGTATGTGTATACAGTACAAGAAAACCTTTATAGTAGTATAATTGTATGTATACAATTACTACTGGTATACAGCTACTACTGGTATATTAACAGAAAAAGTGTGACTGTCAGTTGAGAGAGCTTTTTTTTCCAGCATGGAGCCAGGCCTAAAGATGCATTATACTGTTAAATAGTTTATTACTGTAAACTGGAAGGGGCATAAGGTATACCTTTTATACTGATATTAACTGCAATAGTAAGTGTGTTATTACTGAACTAGTTATATGGTGCACAAAGCATGTAGACCAGGGCTATGATAGAGGAAGACTCTGCTTGGCCCCAAATGTAGCAGTGGTGGGTCAGTCACAACATCAGGCAAGGGTGAAGGGAAAGGGTCATAATGGCACTTGCTGGAGACACTTAGCCTAACTGCATTTGAGCCCCTTAGTCCTAATGTATTGCTGAATGTAGCTATGAAAGAAAAACAAGCTTTTGGTCTAAATACAGCTGTGTATCTTTTTCAGTTAAGGTGCAACTTCTTTACTAAAGTGTTTTGTTACACCATCCCCAGTTTGGAGGGTTATTCACTGGTATAAAGGCATTACACACTAGCATTACTTTATTCCCTTCTCCAAAAGGAATAAGATATATTGGTCTAAAGGCCTTCTCAGCCAGTGTGGCCTTGTCACCATCCGAAGGATGATGCTTTGTGTGCACTGGGTAGCCCAGCTTCTGTGTGCAGAGGAGACTTCAGCTCTGGCAGCATTGGTTCCCCTGGCCCAGGCTCTGTCTGCACAGGATGTCTTGCAAGATTAGAACTGCAGCAACTTCCATGCTAGGGGCAAAAGCCTTCCTCTGCATCACCTGTCTTGGCCTGGAGACCTCAGGTTTCCCAGCCGACTCCATCTCATTTCCCCACTTTTCTACCAACTGATAAGAGTTGGAGGGGTGTGGGGTGGGCTGCTGTGTTGAGAGGGGGTTGTAGCAAACCATTCCCCTGCCCCATTACCACTGACACGAGGCAGCTGGTCATGCTCCCTGGGGCAGGATGGCTGCCTGCAGTGCGTGTGTAAGTGTAGCGTGCATATCAGGTAGTGTGTGTACATGAGTATGTGAGTATATGTGGAAGTACAGCATGTGTATGAGCATGTATAAGTGTATGCAAGTATAGTGTATGTATAAGTATGTGTGTGCACATGAGTGTATGTAAGTAGTGTGTGTATGTGTATGCGCGTTAGTGTAGTATGCACATCCATGTGTGCATGTGCATGAGGGTGTGTGAGTATATGTGTATGTGAATGTGTGTGTGTACGTGTGCAACATGTGAATGTATGAGTATGTGTACACGTGTGTGAACGTGCATGCATGTGTACATGTGTATGTGAATGTACGTGTACGTGTATACGTGTGTGCGCCAGAACCCCCGACTAACGGCGGGCCGCGGCGCGGCCGAGTTCGGCCGCGCCGGGTACTTACGGTAGCGATGTGGCGCGCGCGGCGCGCGGCGGTAGTTACGGTAGGCGCGCGGCACGGCACGGCGCGGCGCCGGGGGGGGGCGGGGGTACATAC